TGAAGCTTCAGCATTAGCTTGAACAAATGGTGTAAAAGGAAAAAGGAACAGAGGTTCTCTTTCAAAGTAAATATCAGAACTAAATTCCACACAACGTTTTCGATACTCTTGGATGGCTATAGAAAAATAATTAATCAATGATAACAATTTCAAAAGTGAACCCCGACAAAAAGCAAATAATTGCAAAATCATGAAGAATAACTTTGATACTGTTTTTAAGGTGTAAACGAAGGCTCGTTGGGCTGCTGCCAATATAAACCACAAACACCCAAGCAAAGACTTTGTCCAGCACATATTCAAAGACACAAAAGATTTCTCGCAATGTGACATTATTCTCACATTAAATCAAAAGACAGTAGCAATGCATGTATTATTCTCACCCAAAATTCGTGAAGGCATGAAAAGATTTTAGGAAGAAAATAACAATCTTACCAATAATGGTTTGTGGTGGCGGAGATGGCAAAGTGACAACTTAACTGATTGTTGCTGCTATCGGGAATTGTAAAAACAATCTATGGAAGAGATTTTGGCGACTCAAGGGAAGAGATTTTGGCGATTTAGTGGAAGAAACTTGGTCGATTTAGTGGAGAAGATTTGGGGTTTACGAGCTCTGATTAGTTTAGTAGAGGACATTTGGGTGGGAGAGCTTTGGGTGGGAGACACTTCGGTTTTTTGCGGCAGTTTTCTTGCCCTGTCTTTTACTTCATAGAATTTTGGGGGAAAATGAGTTTTGAGTGTTGACAATGACAGGAAAGGACTTGTGTGTTTTGGTTTGGGCAGAAAATTTTACCTTAGCAAATTTTAGGGTGGGAAGCCTTGGAGCCAAATTTGAGACTTTTTTTTTTTTTTTTTAACTTAATCCTTGACAGTTAAACATTGTCAAGGATTAAGACTATAACAGTCGAGGAATTAGATTGCACCTCTTAATTTTTACACGATCCTTGACAGTTAATAATAGTCAATGATTAGCTAAAATAGTCAAGTATTTTCTCAAATCCTTAACAGTTAAAAAACAGTCAAGAAGTTGTCAAGGAAAATATTTCTTGACCCTTTTTTAAAATAGTCAAGAAATTTTATCAAATTTTCTATCAAGAAAGGTATTTCTCCTTGTAGTGATCAGAAGGAGAATAAAGATGAGTCAATAGAAGCATTTGTAGCAAGAGGGTGGAGTCAGAGTCGTAGGAAGGAGAGAAAGGGAAGGTCTTGTTCGAAGGGAAAACTCAATAGGGATCAATGTGCCTTTTGTCGTGAGAAAGGCATTGGAAGAAAGATTGTCCAAAGTTGCAAAAGAAAGAAGGCAAAGCTGTTTCTAATGCATATGTTGTTAAGCGTGAAGAAGATGAGTCAGATTTCTCTCTAGTTAGCCTACTATCCACATATGGATCAAATGAGTGGATTATGGATTCAGGTTGTACCTATCATATGTGTCCTCACAAGGAGTGATTCTTTAATTTTGAAGAACTTGATGGTGGAGTTTTTTATATGGGCAATGATGATGCTTGTAAAACAACTGGGATAGGTTCAATTCGGTTGAAGAATCATAATGGCTCAACTAGAACGCTGACAGATGTTTGATATGTACCGAAGTTGTAAAAGAATCTCATCTCTTAGGGAGCCTTAGAATCTAAAGTCTTCACGGTAAATATGCGAGATGGAATTCTAAAGGTTTCTTCAGGCGCTCTTGTGGTAATAAAAAGCATAAGGAGAAACAACTTGTATTACTATAATGGTAGTACAGTTATTGGAACGGCAGCTACAGTAGCACAGAAGGATGCAGATTCAGAAATGCTCAGGCTGTAGCATATGCGTTTGGGGCATGTAGGTGAAAAAACCTTACTTAGTTTGGTGAATCAAGGCTTATTGAAAGGTGCAAAGACCTGTAAGCTGGATTCTGTGAGCATTGTGTTTTGGGAAAACAGACAAGAGTGAAATTCGGCATTGCAATCCACAATACTAAAGGTATCTTGGATTATGTTTATTCTAATGTGTGGGGACTTATCAAAGTAGCATCTTTGGGAGGTATGCACTATTTTATCACTTTAATAGATGATTTTTCCAGAAGAGTTTGGGTGTATGTGATGAAAACTAAAGATGATGTAATTGGTGTTATCCTTAAATAAAAAAAGATGATTGAAACTCAGACTAGCAGAAAGATTAAGCAGCTATGTACAGATAACGGTGGGGAGTATCGTAGTGATCCATTTCTGAAAGTTTGCCAAGATGAAGGTATAATACGTCACTTTACAGTAAGGAATACACCATAACAGAATGTGGTAGCAGAACACATGAATCAAACTATACTGGAGAAAGTTTGATGTATGTTGTCCAATTCTGGGTTAGGCAAAGAGTTTTGGGCTGAGACAGTTATATATGCTTGTCATCTCATTAATCGTCTACCATCAGCTACAATTGAAGGCAAGACGCCGGTTGAGGTATGGTCTGAAAAACCTATTTCTGATTATGACTCTTTACATGTTTTTGGTTCCACTGCTTATTATCATGTGAAAGACTCTAAGTTAGATCCTAGAGCAAAGAAAACAGTATTCATGGGGATTACCTCAGATGTGAAAAGATATCGTCTTTAGTGTCCAAGTTCGAAGAAAATACTGTTTAGTAGGAATGTGACATTTGATGAGTCTTCTATGTTACAGAAGAAAACAAGAAGTCAGATGAAGGTTAACGGTACTCCGCAGTAGGTGGAGCATACTCGGCAGCAAGTAGAGTTTGAAACAACAATTTCACCAGATACTGTCCACGAGACAGAAAATGATTTTAAGGTGACTAATGTGGATACTATAGATGAAGAGGAGATTTTACCCCAAGAATCTCTATAGCAACAGGAATCGATTGCATACAATAGGCCAAGACAAGAAATTCGCAAGCCTGCTCGTTTTACTGATATGGTGGCTTATGCACTTCCAATCGTAGGTGATGATATTCCTACTACTTATAAAGAAGTAATTAGGAGTTCAAATTGTGAATCATGGAAACTGGCCATGAATGATGAGATACGATCCCTATATAAGAAGGCGATTGGGTGCAAATGGGTGTATGCAAAGAATGGATTTCCTAATAGAGAAGATGTTCAACACAAGGTTAGGTTGGTAGTAAAGGGATACGCTTAAATAGAAGGATTTGATTACAATGAAGTGTTTTCTCTAGTAGTGAAGTATTCTTCCATTCTGATTTTGCTAACCTTGGTGGCATAGTTTGATTTTGAACTAGTTCAATTGGATGTGAAAATCAAAATTTTCACATGGTAGTTTGGAAGAGGAAATCTACAAGACTCAACCAGATGATTATATGGTTGCTGGAAAGGAAAATTGGGTTTGTAGATTGAAGAAATCGCTATATAGTTTGAAACAGTCACCAAGATAGTGGTACAAGTGATTTGATCAATGTATGATGGGCCGTGGGTACACAAGGCTTGATATTTCACAAGCAGTTAGTATGGTGAGCAGGCATATGCATGATCCTGGTAAAGGACAGTAGCAAGTTATGCAATGGTTTCTACGATATATTTAGGTATTGTAGATATTGGTTTAGTTTTTGTGCGGGATTATATTGAAAATGGGAAAATGATTCTCTAGAAGATTGGAACAGAAGATAATCTTGCAAGTTCACTTATTGTTTGAGCTTGATCAACATCCTGCAAGTTTGACTACGCCATTTTGCACATTTGAAGGTGTTGCAAAATTTTTCAGAAGAATACAAAATTTGAAGGTTTGCTAATTCGCCAAGGTGGAGATTTGTTAGAAAAATGGCTCATTTAACAAAATCCCACATGGGGTAGAAGTGAAAATGGAGAAAGGTTTAGGGACTTATATAAAATAGGCCAAAGGTTAGTATGTCCCACATTGCTTAGGAATGAAAGTGGGGGAACTTTTTGGGCCTATATATAAGGACCCAAGTCATAGTTATAAACATCCCAAATTGTATTTCCGTTACACCTCTCGTGTATAGGATTCTTTCATTAAGGACTCTTTAATTGAAAAGTTTTGTTGTATCTCCCTTTTATTTTGGGTAATTGTTTTTATGCCTATATAGTTTGGGTATTTGTAGTATTACCCAAAAACTTTGTAATATTCTTTAGAAATAGTGGAATTTTCTTTTGCAGTACCCGAGGACGTAGGTTATAATACCGAACCTCGTTAATTCCTTTTATTATTTATTTTTGTATTTATTTTGGTCAGTTATTTCTTCTTTAATAGTTGTTATTGTTATATTTAAATAGCTAGCATTGAGTTTATATTTCCGTTCCATAACAGAAATCCCATTCAAAATTGCATCAAAAACTTCAATCTTTGTGATAGATTTAAGACAAGTTATTATATTAATCGTTATCACCTGACTGTGTTTTGTTACGTTTGATCAAAATCAAATGTTCAAAGAGAGACAAAATTTGGCCAAAATAGGCCTTTGGGCTTTGAATTGACAGATTAAAGACTTATCATAATGTCGTACAAAAGAAGATAAACAAAGATCATAGATTTCTCCTTCTGGTATATTTCTGTGGATGATGGGCAAAGAGCTTGAAGCAGGAATTATGATTTGTATATAAATGGGAAGTGAGGACTGAGGAGCAGTTTTTATTAGTGAAAATGATGGGCACGTGCAAGAGCAAGTGCCCAAAACTGGCGTTACATTAATTTTAAGCAAAACCCCATCATCAAACCAAAATCAACCATCAGCAAAAACTGAAAATTCCTTGCTCTACTGCTCATCTTTTAACACTCAAAATACTCTTAAAACGTAACATATGCAATATCTCTCTAACTCTACACATATAGAATAATATACTTTTAACATAATAATCCAAAACGCTCATATCATATCAATTTCATTTTCATGTCCATACGTATTTTAATAAGCCAAAAAAACAAAAACACAACCAGTAACTACTGCGGCTAATACCGTTGCTGCAGCAGTATAAATAACAGATCATTTTCATGTCCATACGTACTTTAATAAGCCAAAAAAACAAAAAAAACAACCAGTAACTACTGCGGCTGATACTGCTGCATTAAAACCTTCGCGTGGGCAAGTTTGTTCGTCAAAATCAACTGCTCCAAAGACAAAACACAAAACCCTTTTGAATAAAGCATGGTTTGTGCCACCGGAGAGTTAACCAATACCTGTAAAAGTTGCTGCCTGTTCAACATCTCCAACCCACCAAGACCTCCAAAACGATACCCATCCAACTCGTTTTGAAGAGCAAAGCTAGACTCAAGTGGCATTGATTGGAGAGTTTTAACTTGAGTTTGCAAGAATCGAACATACTTATAGGCCTCTTCAAGCGTGGTAGCAGTATCCATTTTCTTCTCACATGGCATCAGCTTTTGCAAGCACCGAACCTTGTCGCTGATGTTTTGTCGACGCTGACGAGCCAACTCACGTTGCGGTTGAACGGGAGGCGAGAGTACGTGATTGGGACAGACGGAGGAGTCGAAACGAGGACGTTTTCGAGACGATGAGGGAGAAGAAGAAGAGTTGTTGAAGGGTGGAAGATGATGAGAAAGTTGGGGAAAGAAGTGAAAGAGGTGGTAAGTGGAGTCTGGAAGGAGTGAAGGAGGAGGGTTGAGTGGAAGAAAATCAGAAGTTGGTAATGGAATCGGAATCATGGTATCAGTGAGTGTGAAGAATGTGTTGTCGAAGTTGATATTATCTTGGGGACCAAAACTTGACTGTATATTTTGATTCCTCTCCATTTTCATTTTCGGGAACAAGTAGCGTTAGACTGTAGGCGTAGGGTCTATATTATGTTTTGAGAGAAAAAAGGAGATAGACACGTGGAGGTTGTTAAGGCGGCCAAAAGGACGATTAGTTATGAGAGAATGGTACAGAACATGTAGGTGGGGACTCGCTGCAATATTGGCTGCTGTTTGTCTGTTTGGCGGTTTGAGGGTGAATGATCGGACGGATGGGATTCAACGACAAAGGGCGTGTGTTAGTTATAAAGCGAAAGCTGCAATCATGCAAATGCAATGCAAATGCTTGGCTTGGCGTGGATTTACACGTGCTGGATGTACTGTCTGTGGGGATTGCTAGAAAATGATCACCTGCAATTGCCAAGTTTGCCAATCCTATAATATGACACAATTCCATTTATATTGAAAGAAAACAAATCAAAACATAATCAGCCATCCCCTTTTTTTTTTCATTCCCCCTTATTGTACACTAGTACAATTACCCCCTCTTAAACTTTCAATAAATAAATAACACCACACATACAACATTCTCATACAATATTATATAACAAGATATGATTAAATAAAATTTTAATTTTAACTTTAAATTAACCAATCATATTTTGTCACATTATATTATATAATAAATATTGTATAAAAATGATGTATGAATAGTATTACTCAAAATAAATTAGTGTAATTCTTTGACCATTTTAATAATACGGTCAGTGTTTCATATTTGGTTTTAAAACAAGGATGGAGCCGACAAAACAAATTTGATATATTAAAGGAAAAATGGAAAGATCAAAGAACGAACGATGTAAATGCCATGGAACAATTTCGCTTTTCCTTTCATTTCATTTTTTTCCTTTAAATAAAAAATAGAGAGAAAAGAAATGCTCTACTACCAGATAATGAATTACAAAATACAAAGACGATAAACTGTACAGAAGAATAAGAGAGCAGCGCGAGCGCAAGCAAGCACATGCGCTGATGTTTTGGAATGATTATAGCCAACTCCCACGTCAAATAGTAGGGGCAGCTGCCAACAAATATTGAAAAAATCATTCCAAAACATTCAAGGGTGGAGAGGGGGTTTGGCTCTTGGCTAATAATCCCACTATAACTTTCACCGATCCCACATGGCCTGATAAATGGCAGGTCTGTGCTTCAGCCAATGAACCATCTCCCTGTCCAATGGGCAACCGTTCAAAATTGCATCTAGCATTGGGCTCCCATATACTTTCGGAGAGCTCTTGAATGACCATATGCGGTTCTTGGGCCACGGTCTTTGAGGCTGCTTCTCCTGTCCATCATTGCAACTCATAATCATAAGAATACTATACAAACAAATCTAAAATAATAATGAGGTAACAATCTCTAACCTATTTTAGAACACTCACCATCCTTGACAGCATAAACCTTACAGTCCTTGGGCCATAAACACGTTGCCGTGATGGCTTCTGAACCTTGGCATAAAAGGAACCAATCTCAGGTAGAGACAAACAACCCCTACTCGCTCTAGCCAGGCTACAATCTGGGTCAGTATTTGTTTGGATGTGCCAAAATATAAGTTGCCCCAAACAATAATTTTCTCCATATGTCTTCCGGTACTCTTGCAAACCTGTACCCAACTTTTCTGTGTACTTGGGGCCCAAGTCTAGAGGGCTAAGGTAAACTGGTGGCGACGTAAAAGCTTTGTATTCCTGCATAAGAATGTGAAAGTTGATTTAAAGAGCAACATACAACCATATTAATAAAAGTTCAGAGATTTTCTAATAGAAGACTCACCCGAACTCTAAAGAAGCACTTTGTGTAAGCATAAATATGGATCAAGTCAGCTGCAGCATCATGCCGACACTTATATGTACACGGAAGATCTCGGACCTCATCCCTCAACCTTTAAAGGCAAAAAACAAATGAGCAAAAATTGCATTCTTTACCTGATTGAAGCATAACATGTGTGAAATTTTTAAAGCCTTGCTTTCTGCTTACCATAATAAAGATTTCTGAAGTTCTTTCTGAATATCATCAGAATCTGATGGATCACGTGCGTGAATCTTGAACTTGAGATCATTTAATATGTCTACTTCCACATGAGGAGCGATGCACTCAAGAAGTTCCTCAACAAGTGAACCCTCTCCTTTCCAGAGAAAGGATACGGTTTCTTCAGGACTAAGCTTCTCCAGTGGTGGTGGAGCCTTCTTGGGGTCACCAAACACACATCTCATAACATACCTCACCTGCAAATAGCAATCAATGATAAAGATTGTATTAACAATATGAAATTAAAACATGATTGTATTCAATACAGTAAAAAGATGGACTCCAAACACTTGAGGCACATTAGGCGTATGGTATTAGATTTAGACTCTAAAGAATGAGATCAACAAGGAAACAGCAAGATCAACATCAAAAGACAAAATAATCCAGTGATTCCCAAAGGTTAACTTCAAAAAATTTGCGATGACAGTTCCTAAAACCAGATTTAAAAACAGCTTATTCTCATCATTCCACTTAGAAGGATCAGCAAAGCAAGAATCAGTAGGATGAGTCTACACCATAATACATATGTTGTGTCCTGGTTGCACTCAAGCAACACCCAATAAAGATGAAAATAAAATGAACCTTTTGTTCTAAAAATAAGAGAGGCAAGTCACCTTGTCAAGGGTAACAGCCAAATTCTGAAGTCTCTGGTTGTACACACCTTCAGCCTGTATCAACAAAAAGATTTAAAATAAGAATCCACATGGAAACTGCAAGCATATCCTGAGAAATACAGAAACATCACAAATGCATCCCTGGACAAATGCAGGCTGGATCAGACACAAATACAGAGAAAGAGAGAAATCATTAACATTTACCTGAACCTCCGCATCGCTCTTTTCAACCTCAAGAAATATTTCTGAAAAGTATTTCCTTTTCTCTTCCAAATTATGCTTTAAAATTTCCTCTGGAAGCTTCGTTCTTTCATGGTTTATGAATCTCACCTTCATCCAAAATAACAGTCAAAAATATAAGTTCAATAAAGATATGAACCCCCTCCCCTCACCCCTAAAAAAGGTTTAATATAAAAATTTTGAAAGGGGAAAACGAAAGATTAATCCCAAAACTGAAAATAGTGGCAGCAAGGACATACCAAGCGAGCCGAATAGGCAACCACCCAACTTGGCAATCCGCCAAGCAAACAATTGCCTAAACCTGCCCTCCCCAAGTCAAGGTAGTCCTCTTCAGTTACTGAATTTAATTCACAAGCTTCAAGCATAAGTTGATGGCGATCCAGCAATCCATGCAATTCCTTAAGTACCTGAAGTGACATATACCTCAGTTATAAGAAAATGAAATAACTTTAAAATTGATGGCAGAAAAGAATCAGCAGTTTTCAACATGCTGCAGAATAGAGCCAGTGAATGTAAACACCCCTCTCCTCCAAACCAACAAGACAGATGTGCTGTTTGGAAAAGTCACTACTATCCTTAGTTGGACTAATATCATATATGAAGATAAAATGTAAAAAATAGCTTTCCACAACTAAAAAAATTGTCTCGCTGTTGGTACCTTCTCAAAAGCCCCTTCGCCTGTCAGATTCAAGTAGCTACCCCGACAAACCTGACTGCCACATAAACAGACAGAGGCTTCATATTCCTCCTTACTCTGCAGCATGAAGAGCCATCAGTAAGATAAGAACAATGGAAAATTGTTTTATGTCTTAAACTAGACTGGCAGGAAGAAGACACACACCTCTGTAACGGAATTATAATCGAATGTGATCTCCTCACCGCAATGAATTTCCCGTACGGTATATATTCCAATCTGGTACTGACCATCAACAGCAGTAACTCTGCATTCAAGCAACACCAACAAAATCAGTATGACTGGATATTAAAGTGAAAAATATTCACTATAAAATTACTAGATGATCAAGGACAGACTACAATTACTTAAGCATCTCATCAAACAGTCAGAAATATGCAAATGGCAGGAAAGAGATTACAATAATTCCATGAAAATGCTTAGATGAGACAATCTCACCACCTCATTTCACTGACGTGGTGAGACTATCCAATTAAATGGTGTCACATCACATGTTTCCAGATAGGAATTAGTTTTTTCAAACTACAAAAACTACTACTAGATGAACAACCAGCATTATAATTGGTGGTCTTAAAAAATTGACACCCATGTGGCAATCTGTGGCAACATTTAATTAAATGGTCTCACCACATTAGCAAATTGCAGAGGTGAGACTATGCCATGTACGTTTTCCTCACATCCTAGATTTATTTTAGACCCAATTAAAGAAATAACAGATTATTATGTAAAAAATAATGAAGTAAAAACATCAGATCCTATTTCCAATACTCTTAAAAGAACTAATTTCACAAAATTTTAGTGTACACGCATGTTCATATTCAAAGGCAAAATAAAGTCTAAAAGCATGAAATTATAATTCATTACTCCATTTCTCCTGGAAGACAAACAATCAAATGCTATATATTTCATGACAAGACTCCAGCTGTGAACACCAAAGCAAATAATTGGGATCCTGGGATCTAAAAACAAAAATTAAAGAGCTGAATTATTTTGACTTCAGCTGACATTTGCATAAATTTTCTCCTTGCATAATATATCAAAGATAACTAGTATACATAAGAATGAAGATGATTTTATTATCTGCACTACATATATTCTCCAGATGTAAGCAAAACTGCTAAAAACAGTCTTTCATTATGTAAGAACAACATATAGGTTATGGCTTCTCAAGATAAATGTTGAGAAAATGACAGCATGAATCAACAGTTGAGAAAATGACAGCATGAATCAACAGGACTTACTTCGCTTCACAATTAGGTCGGCACGAGTGACAGATACGGCTTGCATAGTTTGCCTTATGCATTGCATCAACTACAACTAAATCATATCCATCACCATCACCCTGGCAAATATCCACAAATGATCAGGTAAAGTTTTCAAAGAAAACAAGTTGAAAAGAATTATAACAAGCCCACATTAAGTAGCACATAATT